TTTATTGTTGCATTCCCCCCATGCAATCCTGTAGTTACACTGTGTCAGTGTATATACTTGTCGCCTCAAGGTCATCCCTCTTTATGGGGCCAAAGCAACTGGGCAACAGCACACGCAGTGGACCCTTAATCCAAGGGTAAAAGGAGGGACCCTTGATAAGGACCCCTAGGTATATAACCTTGATATAGCTATTTATACCCATTAAATAGCCCATTATGGGGTAGGGGTCCCCATTAAGGGTCCCTCCTTTTCACCTTTGACTTAACGATTATTTTCGCGGCAAGACCCTCAACCCTCAACCCTAAACACTAAACCCCAAACCATAATCCCTATGATCCCTGTGAACCCTGATCCCTAAACCCCAATCCCCCATAAACCACCCAAAAACTCCAAACGGTTCATGTGATTCCTCCGAAGGGCCAATCGCTACCCGAGTCCTGTCGCCAGAGCTACGGCAGGGACTTTTTAGGCTTCGTATAGACCGAGCTACCTTATCTCTATACTGCCCTTAGTGGTTTTTTTAAGGTTCAGGGACTGAAGTGTAGGTAATTATTATTTATTAAGTTCCCTATACCTAGACAACTACCCTCCAATACATCCCAAATACCGACTATTAATGGCCATAAGAGCTGCATTAAAGGGCCATTGGGGGTTCCTGGCTCCCTACACTGCACTTGGACCCTGAGCAAGAATTCTAAATTCAGCTGCTTCGTAGAGATTTTCGTAATCGATACTTAGAACTTTTTTCTATCTATCCCTGAGTTATGTCATGCCCTTATATAATGATTTCGGTATGGCCTCCACTCAGAAGCAGCTGGATAATATCTATTGTAAAGTTAGATAATGCCCTGCAAAGTAAGCAGATTCTAGATTGTTGTTCTGGTTAGTATAAAGGCTTATTCAGATTCTACGGCTTCGTCGAGATCATGGTCCCTTGTTTTCCGGAAGTCCCATTTAGAGCTTGAAAGTTTGGGGTGCGGGCATTGATTCAAGTTTTGGGCGGTAAGCGCAGGGCGTCACAGCTGCAGGCTTTAGGCTCTAGATCAACGACAACCACAAGAGGAAAGCATGGCATCAACAAGAACAAACATGACAGTAGTGACAATACCAAGAAGAGCAATATCAGCGAGATCACCGGCAATAGTGATTAATAAGAACCTCAAAACAAGACGATAACGCCACCAACACCACCGCCGCCGCAGCCGTCACATGTATACGAGGATTACGACCACCGGTAATCACCACTTGCGATCTCTGGTCTTCCTTGATGCGTGTTCTGTCATCCCCTTTGCACGAAACTCAAGCCGTGAACTCAATCACAGCTGGGAGCCCAATGCAAAATGCCTCTTCGCGCTTCATGACAAAAGACTTCTCATTATGATTGAGCCAGATGGGTGGTTGTCAAAATTATGGTCCCTTTTGGGTACCCTAAGTATTAGGTGCCGTACTATAATACGGACACAAAAGGGACCCTAATTTTGACAACTACCCAGATCTTCATTGACACCTTTGGGGGTTTCTGGGGTTCTGATCCCATCAGCATCGCAAAGAAGCTGGCAAAAAAACTGAAGGAAGCTCCCAATGCAGGGGCCTGAATCATTGGACTACAGTGAGTCTATACTATTACACTCTAATCATGTTCGGGAACCTTGAGGAGTGGTATTGCGAAAAAATCAAGCCCCTGACACAGACTTCGATTTCAGGGTCCGAACCCTGAAACCTAGATAAACGCCGAAAACCGACAAAGATCGGGAGGCAAAGTTTTGCAATACGGACATGGGGGTCACATGCATATAAATACCACCACGCTTGGTCGGAAACACTGCGCGCAAGAACTCTCAATCCTCATCTTGCACCCTACAACCCTGAGTGCAATAAACCCTGTGAAGGCCCGAAAATGAAGCTCAACCGCTCAAAACCAAAGGCCTAAACTCGAAAAGCATCAAGCCCTGACAACACTATACACAAAAAGCCCCCAACCCCAGACCCTAATGTAGGGGCCTCAATAATTAGAATAGGGTTTTGAGCAAACTATATACTATAACTATAATGAGGAATCCCCCCAATAGTATAGGTACATAGGTAATGAATTAATTGTTAAATCCGTATATGCTACCCGAAACCCTAAACCCTAAAGTTTAAAGACTTTGGCGGGGTCCAGGATCTCCACCCAAACGCCCGCGCGGGCGGTCGCGGCATCCGAGGGGTTGGCGTAGCCGTGGACGGCTGCGAGAGGGGGCAGAGTTGTTTAGGGGTCTGAACTTCGGTTTTTTCAGCGCTTCAAACTTTCGACTGTCATTGAAGTTGGGATTGCAAATATTTTTTCACATGCATACTCATGCATACATCCGTACATAATGTATACTACAAACATGTGTATGTCTACATATATGTAGATATATATATATATATATATATACATATACATATGTACACATTTCACTTGTTGCAAACCTTGCTCATCTAGCCGGGCAGTCTTGCCCCGACTGTCTCAACTAAGGAGTGACGTTCAGTTAGCCAAGTTTGGAACTTAGGGTTCAGAGTAGAGCACGGCTTTGAACATATCTCAATTGGAGCACCCTTAAGTTCGGGAAGTCTGCAATTTCTTGCTATCAGCGTTTCATGTACCCTAGCTAGAGCTATCCTAAAGCCTAAACCCTAAAGCCCTAAATCCTAAACCCTAATTATGAACATCTCTTCACCAACTTCGAACATCAGGTTCGGGAGCCTCGAAGTACAAAACTGGGTTTGTGATACGTCGCGTTAATCGTGGAAGTTTAGCTCAAGTCACGACTCAGATGCCTTCAAAATATCCCTACATTCTCCACATTTATCTCTGTTATAGCAGCCTAACCTACGCACATTTTAAGAGGGAGACCGGCTCAGAAATATCTGGGATTCAAGTTCCCGAAGAAAGTCTCAGCTTTAGGATCCTCTCCACGCTCGCCAAGTCTGTCAGCGGATGCGAGAAGTCTGTGAGAGGGTCAACTGTCTGGGAACGCGCGCCTTTTGTTTGCCTCGGCATCTCCCCTTCTTCGCACTTTTGGCGTTCGGCGCTTCTTGACATCCTTCACCGCCATGTTCCACCGACAGGCTCGGTCACAGAGCTGCACACGAAGCGAGGCAGTTCACTGCCCCCTGCAATTCCACAACAGACCCTGATGAATACCTCCAAAACTCTGCTTAAACATGATGAACCAATTAACCCAAATACTCCCGAATCAGCTCTGTTACTGCCTGTAGAACCGCATAAAGCCCTGTACAGCACTACAGAACCCCGTAGATCCACTAGCAGAGCTACCATGAACATGTCCCGTCATATGCACTTCCTATCTCTGCCTAAACCCCACACCCTGAATCATCCCAAAATACATCCTACACCCTATACTCCCTAAAACCCCTACATATTATATACTCCGTAGAAAGACCGCAAAGATGTTAAACACCTGCCTGCCATGTCGAGGGCTTGCTGCCACGTCGGCGGCAGGCCCTGGACAACAGGAATAATGGTGGTCAGTTGATCCTAAACGTGACAGTGACAGCAATAACAACAAAAGAGAGTAATGGTGGTATACTAACAATAGTAACATAGTAATAACAATACGAATTCTAATGCCACAAGTACCAATGATAGTAATATAATTTACCAGTCGAGCGGGTTGTGCTCCCGAGACCGCACAAGGAGTACTTCGTGTCATAGTTCGCATTCTCCGGCCACGAAGCTGGAGACTTGGGTCTGGTCCCAGTAGGGCACCAGTTCGCCGGCGAGGAGCGCCAGGACCTGGGCCTCGGTCCGGTAATGGGAGAGGTTTTGGGCCTCGTTGGCCTCCTGGACCCTGTAATACCCGCCGAGCGTGCGAAGAGCCAGGACTCGCTGGCCTTCGGGAGCAGCAGGGCGTCCGCTTCCGCCTTCGAATGGCTGTCGAACGGCGGCACAGGGGTTGCGGATTTGGTTCGTCCCCGCCAGGACGCCCCAGCTGACGTTGCCGGGCCAAGCGGGAGCGTTGACGACCCGCACACTTAAGAAGCACAAAGGAGCAGAAAAACCCGAACAATTCAAGGCGAGGGTTCGGGCCCACGGTTTGCAGTTTTTTTCAGCCCTAAACGAACTATAACTTAAATGCTCTCAAACAAAATACTACGGTGTCGACCTCGGGCGTGAGCTGATAGATGTGATCTTTTGGCATAGCAGAGCTACATGCTAACGGACTTCGGGAGCTCTGAAACGAGAGCCCTGCACTGCATGTGCCGAGGAACATCATACCCTATATTCGGGTTTAGAGTTTAAACTCCCTAGAATCCTAGAAGACCAGCATGCAAATGCGTAGGTAACCAAACAGAAAAGCATAATACTAGTTATCAAACAATAAGCTACAACAGCAAAGACTTATTGAACGAGAAAACGCAAAACGTGCATCCCGCCTAGTCGTCCATGAGAGACAAGCAAGAAAAGTGTTCACGGAGCCTCTTATAGACGGGAACCCTATTCTACTTATTGTGGCCCTTCTAACTAGGTCGCGCGCCGACCAGGACCCTGGTGGCGACGTGATGTACGAAATGCAGTATTTCGTCTGGAAAAGCTAATTTGTTAGCAAAAATGGGTATTGAAAAACCCCTAAAAACTATTAACGACCTGAACCGAAAAGTGAAGTTGAAGCACTAAGTTCTGTAAAACTGGCGGCCATCGCACAGAGCTCTGGGGCTTAAGGTTTAAGGTATCGTACATACATATATAAGGGACGTCGACATATGTTCATGTGTATGTGACGTGTGTGGTCTATGTGGTATTCATGGCATATAAAACATATTGTATAGACTCATAAGGCGTTCTAGGCACACACTACATAATATGACACAGGACATGCACCAGGCGGAGAATACATAGAAGACATACTGTACATGTGGAGCATGCAAGAGAGACAGTACATGCAATCCATCAAGGCTCGAGCTTTGTAGCTGTTTTATTGGTTGCTTGCTCCGGTTGGCAGAACGTATTTGTGTCAGTTCTTCCAAGGCCTGAATTTCAAGACCTGATAAAAGATGATTTTGGGAAGCTTTCCCTGCACATGGTTGTGCCGATAGCACCACTGGAATGTCCACTTGCGCAGTTCAGGGTTCAAGCCGTCCCGCAAGCGATGGCGGATGGACCCAGGGATGAATGCCTTGAGGGACTGCCAGGCACGATCGAAGCATTGCGTTCCCGTGAGTTCGGAAAAGCCTCTTGGCATTGGAGCGAGCTTGCTGCAAAAATCCTTCTTTCGATGCACGGCCTGAAAGGGCCCAGTGATTCTGCCTGGCCAGTTTTCTCCAACAACTGGCTCCGTCCGTGTAGATTGCTGCTTTGCCCCGATGCGGCAGTCTTTTCGACAACTGAGGATCGCAGACATCTTTCCGAGACTATCCAGGCCTGGGAGCGCGTGGCAAAGTGGACTGAGCGTGAATTTAAATACCAAAACTTGCGGTCCTCATCTGTGTGCAGACAGTCCATGTCCACAATATCCGTAAAGGGCGAGTTTTCGCCTCGTTGCTGGACAGAGCTGGAGGCGGAGCCGCCTAGCGGTACCAAGATACGCATCTCCCTAGCTGCTCGGACTGCATCCCGGACAGACTCCGCAAGGTTGCTGCCGCGAGGTGGCTAGGCAGCAAGCAAGCCAAACCGCCGCTGCAAAAACACACTGTGCCTATTCGCACGGTCTACACTTCGCGGAGAGAGACGCAGTAGAAGCGACATCGAATAACCGTTTGCGCCAAAACACTGGAGCAAGTCATCAAAAAAAACCCAGTCCAAGGCGCCATGCCGATCTTCGCCAAGCATCGCAATCTGCACGAGCTCCGCCGCTGGTGTCGGCGGCAAGCAGAACATCTGACGGGACCGGCAACCGCCTCGAAATGTTCCTGCAACTCCTGAAAGGAGCAGCGGTCGAAGGTTCGGAACATATGATTCTCCGGGCACAAATCCACGGAGCGAAGAAGCCGCGGCAGGAACAGAGCAAGAGCCAGCCATTGTTGCACCATGATCCTGTCTAGGAAGGCTCCTTAGCCTAGCTGTAACCGTCAATGTTAAATTATTGCTCAATGACCAAGCCCCCGATTGCGGGGCCGGTTTTGGCCGCGCATGGTTGATTTCCAAGTCCATTGCTTTTTGGCTAGCTGTCCGATTTGAAGCCTTGTGGCTCGAAGACGGACGCCGTAGGCTGAGGTCACATGAGAGGGTGGGAGGCTTGGGGTTTAGAGCTTTTGGGCTTGTACTCCGAAGACATCTTGCGTTTTTTTTTACTGTCGTTACTGACCCCCCCCCAACCCCACCCCACCCAACCCCCGAAAGCCCTGAAACAGCAGGTTAACACCCGAAACGCCTGAAACAGCCGGGTAACACCAGGACACTATTATAGAACCCTCTTATAGATCCCCTTTAGACCTGTTTAAAGGAACCCTTAAAGGAGCCCTATAGACCCTACTCTAAGTATCAAGGCCCATCCATCATAGTACCCTTATATACCCCTTATAATTGATAGTAGCCGTCATAGACTCCCTTTAAAGGAGCCCTAAGCCATATTCTAATTATCAAGGCCCCTTACAGGAGCCTTTGCTTCCATCTCCAGCGCCAGTGCCACGGAGGCGTCGACGCCAAGGCCGCCTCGCGACTTTCGGGGGCTTTGTTTAGGGGTTTAGGGTTTGGGGTTTAGTGTTTAGGAGTTCAGGGTTTAGGCTTCGGGGTTTAAGGTTTTTAGGGTTTAGGGTTTTGGGGTTTATAAGGTTTATAGGGTTTATGGTTTATAGGGTTTGGGGCTTATAGGGTTTAGGGTTTGGGGTGCCCCCCCCCATACAGTAAGAGTCTAGAATAGGGTTTAGGATGTACAGGGTTTAGGGATTTATAGGGTTTAGGGTTTATAAGGTTTAGGGTTTATAGGGTTTGGGGTTTATAGGGTTTAGGGTTTAAGGTGCAGTAAGAGTCTATAATAGGGTTTAGGTAAGGTTTAGGGTTTAAGGTGTCCCCCCATATAGTAAGAGTCTATAATAGGGTTTAGGGTTTGGGGTTTATAGGGTTTGGGGTTTAGGGTGCCCCCCCCATACAGTAAGAGTCTATTATAGGGTTTAGGGTTTAGGGCTTCAGGTTCAGGGCTACTATTAAGGTCCTGGTATATCTATATTACGAATATTCCTAGCTTTGTTCCTTCTTACCGGCGGAGGCCTCAAAAGCTGGGATAAAAAGGGGTAGAACTAAGGATGCTTGCTAGAAGGACTCTTCTTTTAGATGTCTTCTATAAGGACTCTTATTTCAGGATTCACCAACGGCCTACCTTCGTTGCACCCTTGGAGCTCCTTGATCCCGAGGGCACCACGGGTCCGACAAGGCGTGAACTTCTCTTAGAGATGTTGCATGGGCTTTGTGTAGAGTTCTAAGTTAAGAGCTTTCATGAGGAATTTGTCAGGGATTCTCAAATTTGTAGAGTTGACAACGCTTCCATGAGGAATTTTGTCAGGGAATCTTAAGCTGGCGGCTCTTTGGTTCTTGTAGCGAAGATCTACAACTTCAGGCCATCGGTGGACTAAGCTCTGAGCTGTATAGACTGGGTTTGGGGTTGGCGCCGCAACAACTCTGACGGGCCTGACTTGCTTCTACAGCATCACACTGTAAAGACTTTACAAGCCTAAACCCTCCAAAAACCCAAAACCGTGAGCCCTTGAATTGACCCAGTTCTCTGTCATACCCAAGGCGCCACTGTATAGTCGCTCTGCCAACTGCCGCGTCTGCCCGGTCAAGTGCGCCGGCAAAGGCCTAACAGTAGGGTTCAGGTTGTAAGCTTGGATTTGTGTTGTCCGGAAATCGGCTGGTTGACGACGAGAAATTCGGGATTGGAGGTCCCAGAAAACGTGACAACTGTGGAACCCCAAGAGATAGAATTACCCAGACTGTAGCACGGCATATGTACGCGACAGTCAGGAGACTCCTCAAAGCTACTTGCAACCTCGAAGTTCAAGCAGACCCAACTAAATGGGAGTTTCCGAAAATGGTGGACCCTAATATAGCACCATAAATAGTAGGATCCTTATTCTAAGGACCCCAAAATAATCTACCCCTAATTTTCGGAAGCTACCAAATAAGTCTCATGGTCCTGCAGTGCAGCCAGAAGTGGCAAGGCCCCCACCGACAAGCAAATCGACTCTGGCCTGCCTCAACTTACCTTTGGTTAGTATGGTAGTAGTAGTAGTAGTAGTAGTAGTAGTAGTAGTAGTAGTAGTAGTAGTAGTAGTAGTAGTAGTAGTAGTACTCCATTCCCTATCAACCCTCTGACCCCTTTATTATAGTAGACTGTAGGGTTTCTATATGAGAAATTATGGTTTGGGGAAGTATCCCCCATAACAGTACTTAGGACCCTTTGGGTCTGACCGTCTGACTCAAACCAGACACCAAGGACCGCAAACCCGAAAACAGAAATCCAGAACCGAACACAAAACTAAACTAAACCCAACCCTAAACCCTAAACCCTATAGACCATAAACCGCTGCCGCCAGGTTTCGTGTGCAAGTCGAAGCACACCACCAGTCGCACGCGACGCCCCGCCGCGCGGCACAGGCCGGTAAACGCGAGGGCTGTGGCCAAGTGGGAGCCCTGGTCTGGTTTCTTTTGTTTTCTTGCGGGGATGGGGGGGTGGGGGGTATAGACTTTGTGGGTTTAGGGTCTGGGGCTTTTGGGGGTTAGAGTTAATTGGAATAGGGCTTTGGGGAGTATGACACTACAACTATTATAGGAGTCCCCCAAAATAGTCTTGTTAAATATGAAGGGTCTATAGAGTTTATGGTTAGGGCGCAAGTTTGGGGTTCGAGGTGAGTTTGGGGTTTAGGGCTGTCAAGGGTTAAGGTGTGTTTAAACACATCTTTTCCAACTTCAGGCCAGTCTCACGGCTGCTAGAAGCCTCCTTGAAGTCATGACAGCGGGGAGAACTCTGGATCACGAATCTGCATTGCAGATCGTGAACAAGGACGAACGGGGTGCTAGCGCCATGATGGCACGGTCTTTGAAGCAGCACCACTGCGGTTCAAGACAGTGGAGCCTACGAGCTGGGACCAACACCCTAAACCTTAAACCGTTCATAAGGGTAACCTGTACTACTCAGGGACCCAGCCCTATCTGTGCCGATGGTCGGCCTCCCAGTACCGTGCTGCTCGACAGGCGGCTAGAAGAGGAGGCTCCTGCCGTACTGTCAAAAGCGTGCAATTCTGACCGAACGAAATTCCAGAAGATATATTAGGGTAATGAACATACATGGATACCCCAGCCAGTTTCAATTTATGCCCGGCAGTATGTACACATATAATATACTTTGGGCCGAGAGAGAAAGGGAGGGAGGGAGGGAGGGAGGAAAGGAGGGAGAGAGAGAGAGAGTGTGTGTGTGTGTGTGTCTGTGTGTGTGTGTGATGCGTGCTTGTGCATACGCGTGTCTAACTGTCCTTTGACATACATACATACATACATACATATACTACACATACATGGAGGTGCATGCGTCTACTCAATACTCCTGACTGTCGTGATATAACATATATATACACACATACAGATGCACCTATACTTACATATACATCTACACATGCATGCATGTATGTGCGTATGTTTAGGTGTATTTGCATACATACCTATCTTTGTTATTTATCCATCGACCAGTCTATCTACCGATCTGTCCAACTATCACCTTTTCGAACGAGCCTCATGCAACTACAGTCATCGTCTGTAGACATTCAGCTGCGGTTGACTTCACTCTTCACCTGCTTGAGCATCCAACAAAGCAGGGCCCCCGAAAATTGCCAGAATCGAGGCTCTTGCGGACTCTTAAGAACTCGTCTAACCTGTATGCATCCTAGTCATAGCCACATATGCCTTAAAGTACCTACGATACAGAGTCGGCGCCCCAGCCGGATAATGGCGAGTTCGCAGTCGAGGCACTGAACACCCCATTGCGGATTAAGACTTACCTTAACTTCAAATAACCTACCTTTTTAAGGACAGAGATAAGGAAATCATAATAGGGGACCCGACGAAAAAAAGAAAGGTCCTAAAGGGTTCAGGTATAATTTGAAGTCACTTCCGGTACCCCTAAGACTCCAAATAGCCCAAAGTAGGTAGCATTTATGGACTTTAGACCCCAAAGTAGGTACTATTTGTATACTTGGAGTCTTAGAGTACTGGTCCCTCCCTGGCTCCTTGGTATTGCTCGAAGGCACGACCTGGGACACAGAGCCGAGGCGTTAGGGCCGTACGTAGAGGGTAATACCCGATCCGACCCCTTTTGGGGGTGCCTAGTTTTTCTACATAACAGATCCTAACCATATAACTAGGTTTGTGATGTAAAGAAGGGCTTAGAGGGTGTGACCCTCTAGATAGTTT